GCTGTTCGGGGAAGACGAGGGGCTGCTGCGCCTGGACTCCCTGCGGTACAACCGGGCCGTCCGCGACCTGGGCCCGGCCGTCAGCTCCGCCCTGCTCCACCTGCAAGAGGACGGGGTGCTGAGCACTCTCGCGCACACAGGTGACCCATTCCGCGCGCCGGGCCAGAACCCCGCTGGCTGTCATCGCGTCGGGTCCGTCGGGCCCCCGAGGGCTCGGATCCCAGCCCTTTCCGGGTCCCCAGGCAGTTTAGGTTCATCTCCCGCGGGTGTCCCCCCACGCATTTTGCAGCGTGGCTCCGTTCAGAGTGATGGTTTTATGTTTGACGTATTTCAAGTCTTTATTTGAAAAATATTTTTCGCTGCCCTCTCGCTTCACGGTTGCCGACTGAATCGGCGGGGTTTTTTTGCGCTGCGTGCTCTGCTCTCTGTTCTGCAGGCGCTCCTGCATCTGATCCACACGGGAGAGTGAGCACGATCGGCGTGTCTCTCTCCGACAGTCCGCCAAGCTCGCCTCTGTCCGTCTCGAACCCACCCAACACCGCCACACTCAGTCCATTATGGGCCCGCACTGGGGGAATCCAAGACTCCGCTGCCCAGGCCGGAGCTCTTCTCTCCCTGTTCGTGAGCGTTAGATCGACAGGGAGCTGGAAAGCTCAAAAACCATCCTCCTGAACCGCAGGAGCAATTTTTCCAGCTGTCTGAAACCCTCTCCTGCTTGCAGCTGCTTCATCAATCAAACCCTCCTCTTCCTGCAGATTGAGCACGATTGTCTAGACTGCTCTCAAGAAGTCCCTCTGCGGGCAAAATAAATGACGTTCAACGGCTTCAAGTGCTTTCGGTCAGAGGCTGTAGTCCTCTACAAAGCTCCGTGTTCATGAATTTAGATTTGCTTTTAGGTGCATCTTAACTCGTGATCCATTGAATGAAACACTTATCAAGTGTAAGAGTGTGAACCGTTTTATTTCACTTTGTGAAACACGTTTGCTATACTCGCTCTGTTTCTAGGTCCGAGCGGGGAATTTTCTTTTAACTGCTTCTCTCTCTCAATGCCTCTCCCCTCCGCCGTTGCCTTATGTCCGTTTTCCTGGTTTCAGGAGACTCGAACGCCGACTTCGGCAAGGGCGCGTCTGTCCGCGAGGATGAGAGGCTGAAGGAGAGGGACAGCAGTTCCCTGGAAAGCAAGATGGAGGAGAGCAAGGAGGGTGCGGAGCTCGGCAAAGACGGATCCAGCACGGGAGAGATCAGCAGCAAGCCGTCAGGAGAGAAGTACTCCCCCAAAGCAAGTGGCCTTTGCATTTATTGAGTTTTTAGCTCCCTTTTTTCGCGGGCAGAAGAACCTGTATTCCTACGACCCTCTCCCTTAAAGACAAATTTCCTTCTGGAATTCCACTGTGCTTATTCTCTCACTCCTCCAGTCCCAGTATGCCCGAACCGTCTGCTCCCTGATTTACTGATTGGCAGTGTTGGGTCCTTCGGCGTCCTGCTGTTAGTTATAATAATGGAATTGGCAAAAATGAGGGATCCTAGCCTTTTGTATAGTGCCTTTGAATCCCGCTCCCAGCAATGATTTTCCTTAGATGCCTCCTATCCAAGTACTTCCCAGTTCCTGTCCTCACTTAGCTTCAGGTTTTGACACGGAATAGGCTCGTTCCCAGGATTCCCAGGAATGAAGCTGATCGGACTGAGAAACAGAACTGGGGTTTTGTCCTGCCAGCATTAAATATGCTTCAAAATACAACCTCCCCATCCCAGAAAAAAACAAAAAAAAACATGACACAATAAACTATAGCTCCTTTTTTATACGCTGCCCAGAAGAAGTCTTACATGCTTTTATATTTGTTCTGCTGCAGGAGCTGCTTGCCTTGCTGAAGTGTGTGGAGGCAGACATTGCGAACTATGAGGTCTGTCTCAAGGAGGAGGTGGAGAAAAGAAAGAAATACAAGGTAGGATCTTGACCGTCTTGATGAGAGCTTGCAGGCGAAATGGGACACTGTATTCCATGTAGGCTGTTGCCAAGGCATTTTGTGTATTGAGATTTGTTGGTAGTCTGATAACCCCTTTCCCAGGTTCAGCATGTGAAGACAAACTGATTTTCAGAACATCTTTTCAGGATATACAGCCCGCTTTTATACTGACATTTTAATACTGTATGTGAATGCAGCATTCAAGGAGATCTCATTGACTTGCCATTAACGTCTTCTTACATGCCTGCCTGCAGTGCCACTTTGCAGTAGACAAGCCGCAGGCTCCATAGCGCCCAACAGGTGAGCTGGCGCCTGATTGGAGGAGGTGGCGAGTCTCTCGCTGACATCACAGCGCGCCTGCAGACTCTTGGCAGGTCTCGGAGACGGACGAATAATCCCAACACCAGTGGCCCTCGGCCATTAGCAGCTGCTGTGTGCAGAAGGAAATTTGTGTCGGCCTAATCGTTTTGTGCCAGCATTGTTGGTAGAATTTGGGCTACATCATTGACGGCGGACTGTGACTAGCAAAGCAAAAGCATCCGATCACGCTAACAAGTAAATCAATTGTGGGGCTTTCAGTGTAGAAATGGTAGAGCAGCCTCTGACAAGGGCACTTTCTCGGGGTGGCCTTTTGTGGTTCCCTGTTAACGCTGGTGCTAGGGTCAGAGGTCAAATGGGCAATGCTAGGTTGCATAACGAGTGGCGATTCTTAATGTTTGATCCCCAGTGGTATTTTTTAAAAAAACAAACAAGATTACAAAGTGACAGTTTGAAACTCTTTTGTCTCTCCAGATCGATGATCAGAGAAGGACTCACAACTATGATGAATTTATTTGCACCTTTATATCTATGCTGGCTCAGGAAGGTAAGATTTCCTTTGGGACTTGGCTCCCTCTTGTTATTTCTTCTCCTTTTTTCTTTATATATACATATTAAAACTGAAGTGTTCTTTATGTTTAAACCTTTAAATCTGTTTCTTTATATGCGCTTAACTCGCTAAGAAATAAACTGAAATAATTTGAGTCTTCTAATTTAACAGTATTTTATAAAATACAATACTGCCTTCTTCAGGCGTCTTCAAGTTTTGACACCTGAAGAAGGCTCCACGGCCGAAACGTTGTTTTCTTTCTTCTCTTAGAAATAAGAATAGAATAAACCTATTACTTGTTCCTTTGTGTCTTTTTTTAGCTTGATTTTGTAATACTCTTCAAATAGGAGATAAAAATGTTATTTCAACTTTTTTCTTCAATTCATTTTCAGTTCCTAGTCCTGAGTCCTAGAGTGAGTACATAAGATACTTGGGGAAAATGAGCACGATGCTTCAAAGCAATTCTCTTATTTTCTTAGGAGCTGTATTGATTAATGAGATTCTGATGAAAGCTGTTCAGGGGAATGCAATGGTTTTATTCTTGTGATAACCCTTGTTCTGTACCTTTTTGAGTGCTTTGTACTGCAGCTTGTCCCTTTAGTTCTGATGAGTTCCAAGAATCCTTGAAAGAATAGTTGTGCTAGCAGTGTAATGTATTCATGTTCACCTTTTTATTGGCAAAGATGAAACTTTTCCGCGTGTTTCCAGGGTACAGCGTTTTTTATTAATTTGCTTGTCATTGTCCAACCGGAAAGACAGGATGCTGCATCTCTCAAGTACATGCAACCTGTCTGTGCTGTTGCTTGCATTAGCTTGACGCTGAATTGATACTTCTGTCACGTAGAAGAAAATAGCATAAGGCAGGTAGAAAATAAAAACTTTGGATGAGAAATTAATCCATCTCATCTTTGGATGAGAAATTAAACCAAGGGCCTGACTCTCTGTGCTCATTAAAAATCCCAGAGCGTTTCTCGAAAAGAGTAGGGGTGTTACCTCGGAGTCCTGGCCAAATTTCCCCCTGGCCTTTACCAGTCATGGCCTCCTAATAACCCCCATCTCTGAACTGGCTTCATCACTCTGCTCTCCTCCCCACTGAGAGCTGGTGTGTGGGGGGCGGTCTGACACACTATGGCTGCGTTTGCATCATCCAGGTGGGGCTGCACATTGGTGGGGGGTGGAGGGGATCCCCATTACCTGTGAAGTGCTTTGAGTGGAGTGTCCAGGAAGGCGCTATATACAGTAAGCGTAAGGATGATTATTAAAAAGGGCAGCGTTTCCCTGTGCTCATCGTGGTAACAGCGGTCACTCTCCCGTCCCGCAGGGATGCTGGCCAGCCTGGTGGAGCAGAACATCTCCGTGCGGCGCCGGCAGGGGGTCAGCATCGGCCGGCTCCACAAACAGAGGAAGCCCGACCGCAGGAAAAGATCCCGACCCTACAAAGCCAAGCGGCAGTGAGACCGGGACGGCGCGTCACCGGTGGCCCCGTCGAGCTGGGTGGGGCTCTGCGGACCCGAAGGGAACCTGCCTGGGATCTGGGATCTGGGATCTGGGATCTGGGATCTGGGATCTGGGATCTGGGATCTGGGATCTGGAACGTGACGCCCGTCGTCTGCAGCGAAGGGAAACTGCAGCCGGCGGAAAACCAGCACGTCGCTCGCCACACCGACTGCTGCTACGCTTGCGAATTAAAAGCTTTTCACTTCGGGGAAACTCGGCAGTACCTCTCCACTGTACGCTGAACGCTCGGACTGAGGAATGGCGACCGGTTTGTTTTTTTAAATTTTGTATCGCAATCCATCTTCTAGTATTGATCACCGACATTGATCCAGTTATATGCCCGCGGCTCACTCAGCAACTGTTTTTTTCCGATATTAGTATGCAGCGCAGAGACGGACTGAAGCCTGTTGAAAGATTTTTTTCACCTTTCCCCCCCCTTGGCATGCTCTAGTATGTTGACTCACGTCTTGTGCTGAATTCGTTTTTTTTTCCCGTCGGTGCCAATATATCACTAAACTGGATAAGGAAGACAAGAATTTTTAAAAAGTACAATTGATGGTGTTTTCATTTAAAGTAGTCGTCAGGATTCCAAGAGTCACTTTGTCAGTCATTTCCTTTTTCCTTTCGTACAAGATCATGTCGTAATTCTTTTCTGCCTTTCTGCATCAGTGACAGTTGTATAAGAGTGCGATATAAAGTATTCATACTGCTTAGAACATATCTGGTATTTGGACAGAACATGCCAAAATAATATTAGTTGTCCAGTACTACTACATATATGGACCTTAACAGTGAATGTTAACATTTTAATAAAAATATAAAAGAAAATAGTTAAGCATTGTATATATAATCTAATTTACTAGGGGAAAATCCTATTTCATTTCATACTTGAGTATTTTTCCCCAATTTAGTCACCTAAGTAATGGTAACTGGTTATGGAACTTGTTGTTAATTCAACATTTACTGGGAAAATGCATATAATCGCCAAGTACCGGAGGGTCATTCACGTCACGGTTTCCTGAAGGTTCGTCACCATCCATGTCCGATTTGGCTGAAAATGGTCAGTCTGGAGAAGGGTGTACAATGTCAGTACACGTGTAAATATCAGAAATATGAGTGATCAGCTCCTAACCGTTCCCGAGATGCGGCCGTTGATCTCCAACGTGGGGATTTTTCAGCTTGGTCAACAACCCCTCCCCCCCCAGCCATTTTCACCCCTATCTGTGCTGTATGGTGATGCAATCTCGATCTGTTGACAAGGAAAAGCCCTGCAAAGGAAAAGCTCTTGACCTTGCAGAAGAAGACTATTTACCACATTTTCCTTATTTAAAATTCCTGTCGCTTTATTGAGGTGAAAGCTGTATATATCCTTTTATTAAGAATTGCTGCGAATCATTAACCAATATTTGGTTTTCTTCTGTTGTGAGAACGGAAACGACCTTGCTGCTGGAGAATGCATTGCTTTTATTCCCGTTTTCTCATCATCTCCTGCTGCGGTGTTATCCTCTGCCCGGTTTCGAGAACGCCTAGCAAAATGGTGGCGTGTGTTTGTGTACATATGTGTGTGTCCGAGCCAGCCTGTCTTTTCTACTCTTCGTTTTTTTTATCTTCCTGTCTCATCGATGTCCTATGTTCATGTGCACTGTACACTTACAGAAATGCAGAGATATGATCCATCCATGCAGATTTCTGTAATCAGATGACATTAGCATCAACATTGAATAAATGTCTTTTTGTCAAAATGGCCATGCGATACTAGTTTTTCCCCACAATGACGGAGATCAGTTGTGTTGCAGAGCCTGTCGCTTTCTAACTTCTAGGCATGAAGCTGCACAATAAATTATCTCTGGCCTTAAAGTGCACTGCGTGCCTGCCTTTGTATGCTGTTATGTAGGGATAATTAATCCCTGATTGCTCTAAATTTTACCCTTCAGAGCCCCTATCCTGTTGATAAGCGCTGAAAGGCCTCTAAAAGGTCATTTGTAATTGAGATCAAAATAAGGCTTCTTCGTCACTGCTGCATGGTGCCTTTGAATCATATCTTTCAGAAACTGCACCTAATGATGACCCGATAGGCTACTATTGAACCATCATCCACAGGTCAGGTCGGGTTAGCCTTTTGGTTACTGTTCAGCTTTTTGTGTCGAAGTTGAGCTTCGACAAACGGTTGTGAAGTTTTTCGCTGTATTTAAATCTGATTTCACGAACCCGTTCTTTTTGAATGGTGGGGAGTGTGTGTGGAGGGGGGGAGCTTTTAGAAAAGAAAGATGAGCTTCCTTTTCTGTGTGTGGAGGGGTTGGTGGGGTAATAAAAACAGGAAAGGAAAGCCGATAAAGATCATGTGTGATTTTCTTGAGCCTGTTACAGCTTCTTCCATCGGCAGATATACCAGAACCCGTCCTGGCCCGTGTTGGGGAAAAATTCCACACCGATGGGCCACTGTTCTGCCCAAGTAAATGTGGCTGCAGTCTGGCATCATGCGCCGGTAAGGTTAAATAATGCGAGCGCAGGGAATTGCATGGAGGAGGCGTCATCTTAGCAAGTACAGGTTGCTCGAAAACCCGAGTTGAAACGGGAGAACCGAGCACGCAGTGGCCGTAACGCAGGCCGGCTCCCTCCTGAGCCTGCAGGTCTCCAGCGGCAGCAGCCCCTCGGAGGCGGGGAGAAGCCCTCAAACCCATCTCCACCCTCTCCCCCAGTTTAAGCAAGGTTCGACCTTGCATCAATCCGCGTCCCACAGTACAATACTCGAGGTAGGGACCGTTTAAATCACGCGTATAAAGAGCAAGTGACGCAGCAAGTTCCTCCCGCAGGTGGGAAAAATGTGGCCGCAGTGTAACCGGTCACCTGCAGGGCTCAGATTGACAGTTCACTCTGACTGAGCTCAATTCTCGCTTCCGCGCACGACAGACGACGTCTGCATCGTACTTCAGCCTTCTTCGACGACAGCTGCGAGTCGCCCATATCGGCAATCGCGTCAGGGAAACACCCAAGTGACTTGACCAGTTGTGTTTTTCACCGTAAATTGTATTTGTGTTAAATTGCCGAACAGTACAGTGTAGGGAAGTTCCCGGTACTGTACGTTCATTACAAAGCAATTCTCTGACGTGTTTGCTGTATGTTTTTAAATGTATGCTGTATTTGCTGTTCAATGAATCTAATTATAGGGGTTTAAAACCTTTTTCTCCGGTCATAGATCATTGATTTCTCCGCCCCTCTGTGAACGGGGCAGGTTTCTTTATTTTCTCAGCCTCCTGGACTGTTTTCTGCTGCTCCTGCCCCCTACTGTACCCACTCCACGATCAGCTCGCACCCCTCACGTCCACTGAAAGGACAGTTGCCCCCAGTGAGCCCGCAGACCTGCCCCCCTGTCCCTACTTCCTCACTCCTAGACGCTGCTCCGGCAAACAAAGGAGGCAAACCATGTAAATAATTATAATTGCTTACACTTATAAAGCACCACCACCAGTGTGCAGCCCCACCTGGATGATGCACCAGTACTCTCCAAACACACCAGCTCTCAGTGGGGAGGAGAGCAGAGTGATGAAGCCGGTTCAGAGAGGGGGGGTTATCAGGAGGCCCTGATGGGTAAAGTCCAGGGGGAAGCACCTACTTGTTTCGAGAAACACCCTGGGATTTTTAATGACCACAGAGACTCAGGACCACGGTTTTACACATCTCCCAAAGAACGGTGCCTTGTTACAGTAAAGTATCCCCGTCACTATACTGGGGCATTGGGACCCACACAGACCACAGGGTGAGCGCCCCCTGCTGGCCCCACTGACACCTCTTCCAGCAGCGGCAGCAGCCTTAGCTTTCCCAGGAGTCTCCCTTCCAGGTACTGACCAGGCTCACACCTGCTGAGCTTCAGTGGGCTGCCAGTTATGAACTGCAGGGTGATATGGCTGGGGTACATATAGGGTTCATACAGTATAGCAATAGCATGAACACTAGTTATCTATGCGTGTTCACCCAACTGCTGAAAAACGGGTATTTCCGACTTGCATAAAATTCGAATTAGGTAAATAGGGAACCCTTATGTAACCCGGGGAGAAGAGGTATTAGGCCATGCGAAGCTACAAAACTGCTGGCAAAATCGTGATCCAGTTTTTTTTTTTCTCTGTGGGTGAATTGCCCATGTAATGACAGAACAGCAGAACATAAAAACATAAATCTCTCCCTGTCTCTGTGTCTGTGTCTCCCTGGAGAAAAAGCTGGGGTATGCGAAAAGACACATTCCTAATGCAAGAAATTGTATAGGGCTAATAAAGAAACATTACATTACATTATAAAAGTTCTGCTGTTCTCCCGTTTGTGAAGGCTGAAAACATCGCACGATGGTGCACTGACTGCAAGATCCCACTAGATGTCGGAATGACAGCAGGGTTTCTTACCTTGTCGTCCCCTTTTTCTTGCTAAGGTTCATAAAGTGTGTTATGTGCGAGTATTCTTATGCGAGTGCGCAGTAAATCTTTCAAGGATTGTCGTCTAAAACAGGGGGGGCCCAAACTGGCTTTCTTTTCAGCCGAGCTCTTAAATCGATCAATCAATTAAATCGATCCTCCGTTCTTTCTTCTGAATCCTTCATTCATGGCTCGACTGGAACTGTTGGCAGTTTTTTGTTCTGCTCACAGATCTTAAGCGACGTGTGAGACGCATTAGTCACAGGGCGACATCCGACACGTCTAGGAGCCGAAAGCAGTCGGATATGAAATCGGACGGTATGAAAGGCTTATCCCAGTCCGGTCTTTCACAGACTCGTGGACCCCCTACAGACAGGACTCGGCTCAGTTAACTCCCTGGGACTCGCTCAGTGAGGGGCGTGTCTGTTTCCGCGGTGCAGTGTGCAGTTATGTCTTGTTGGGATGTAGGGAACTGCACAGTTGCTTGCTGCTGACACATTCCTGTAAAAACTGCGGCTATGACAGTGCTTGTAGGTTTTTGTCCCCTTTTGCACGAGGTGAATCGAGAACACAGGGACACCCCGTCCTGTTTTGGTGGCCCCGTTTCTTTCGAGTTGTAGGACACAGGGCTGTCCGGTGTCCAGGGGGGAAATAAAGTGCCTTTTGATTGAGACATCGTTGGTGCTGTTTGTCCCCCCACCTTTCTGTACGTTTGCGTGAGAGGTGCTAAGGACAGCGACATTTAGCCAGGATCATAATTACAACTTCAGCACTAAATGATCGGGTAATCGGCCTGCCTCACCGCTGTTTCCCAGGTCTGTACGCTGGGGAGATAAGTCATACTGGACGTACTTGTAAGAACCTGCAGCACGGAGCCCCTCCAGGTCCAGGAGTGAATGCCAGTGTAACAGACCTTGGACACTAAGCCTTGGGTTTTGGGAAGTGGGTAAAATTCCAGTCGGTAAGAAAATGTACCGCAAACGGAGTCGTCACTCATCCAGAGCAGATGGGAGCTGCTTGCTGCTTCTCCTTTGCCACTGAGCCTGAATCTGCAGTACAGGCGGTGATATAGCGAGCCGTTCAGAAGTCCTCTTGCATAATCGAAACGCAGGACTGCGCTACAGAGCAAATTAGGCCTGTGGTTCCATACGATTCGGAATAAGCAGTCACGGAGGGAGACAATGACCAACCCAAAGGAATACTAGTAGTTTATTGTTGCAGCGAATATTACCTGGCCACCCCAATAAAAACGCCTTTGTTCAACATGATATGCCGCAGAGAAGACAACTGCTCTCGTAGGCGCTTCTTAAAATCATTTGTCAATTTGGAACAAATATGGCACCTTCCGCTGGTAAACGCAACAGAGTGTAAAGCACGATTCTCTATGAACTTTTATTTCTAATTAAAACCAACCAAAGACACACAACCCAGACGAAGTCGCCTCGCAGGTCTGGGGACCGATTTATTTCTCTGTGTATGTATGCCTTCCTCAGGATTTTGATCATGCTGAAAATTAGCAACTGAATTTGGATAGATTTTTACAGCTTCTGATCTGCCTCTGTGACATATCGAGTTCTTGTAGCCCACATTCCCGATAAGTAAGAATATCTTCATTGTTAAACAGAACTGATCGATCAATTAGTTCGATAAAGACACCGAGAAGCACGGCAGAGATGAGCAGTAGCCGATTTTTGACTTGGGAACACGCGATTATTTCGCGGATCCTTTAAGCCTATGACAGCGAACTGCAGGCCTCAGAGTTTTATTTCATCCTTTCATGACATGACTTCCTCTCGGAGCGTTAAAGAGGACTAGGAAACCTGCCGTTCGGTGGGTTTCAAAATATTATCAGCGCAGAAGAAAGAACGGCAGGAGGCACTGGCAGCTAAGGCGCCCTCTACAGGACAACTGTAGTAGCAGCCAGTCACAGAAGAGCACATTCCTCTTGCAGGCTTCCTCTTGCAAGCTGGAAGAAATCTTTTGCAACAAATCACTTTAGAATAGACCTGATAAATTCATTATTATTCATTTGTATGCTAACTCAATTAGTTAGCATACAAATACTAAAATCACTCTTGTTAAGGCACTGGAAATAATGGAAGTGTTGGGTGATAGCACAGCTGCCTTGCTGCACTGGGCCCTGGGTTCAACTCCAGACCTGAGGTGCTGTCTGTGTGGGTTTTCTCCGGTTGCTCCAGTTTCCTCCCGCAGTCCAGAGACATGCTGATGGATCAATTGGCTCCTGGGAAAATTGGCCCTGGTTTGTGTCTGTCTGCCCTGTGATTGGCGTCCTGCCCAAGGTGTACCCTTGGGCTGAGCACCTGTAGCTTGCAGGGACAGACTCTGGTTTCCCTGCGACTCTGAATTGGGAGACGCAATCAGACGATGGATGGACGGAGTGCATTAGATTGGAGTTTCGAGTCTACTTTCAGAGCCAGGTTCCTATGGAGGAACTGGAAAGGGCAGCAGTTTTCTTTCAGCGTGTTTTTTTTTTGTCTCGTGCTCAGTAGAAGGGACAACCACATGGCCTCCTCTGTGCTCATCGATCAATCTGTCAATCGATCTGGTGGGATTCTCCCAATCCCAATCCCAATCCCAACTCCAGATGAAGAGCAGCTCTTTGGCCAACAACTCATTTTAATCCCCTGTGGAGACCTGCTCTGTAATATCGATAAGTGAGACTGTCAAAATGAGAGATTGTGTCTGTGAGGACTGAACGAAGATGTATGGCCGTCTGTGCATAATTTCATGAATACCAATCAGGTGAGCCTCCTGTCTGACTGTGTGAATTTGGGGGAAGTTTCAAGGAGTTGTGTAACCTTGAGATGCCTTGCAAGTGTTATGTTTTATTCATTTTGAACCGCGCTGTGGAGGGGAACTTGGCATCACAACAGAGGGGATTCTCTGTGCAGCTTGGGGGCTTCCTGTTTATCCTGTCATCAAAGAGGGCTCGAGCAGCTGGGGGCCAGGAGTTATATAAACCCAGTCTTGCACGTCCTCTTGTGTAGGATGTTGTGTAGGGCAGGGAGACCTCACACAGCACCCTGGACGGCCGGAGACGCTTCAGTCTCCGTTCGCTTACAGTCGCCCGAGAGCTAAGCTTCAGATTCAAAGCAGTCATTCCCCCTTCAAATACGACCTTTTAATAAGAAATGGAAACATAATTTGTAGAGGGGCCTTGGTGGCACAGAGATCAGCATTGCTGCCTGAGAGCGCTGGGGCCCTGGGTTCAATTACA